GGTTTTTTTGCTATCTTTTGACCGTTTTGCCTGTTGGATTTTTATTTTTCAGCAAGCTAAATTGTTTCAAGCTACTTCAGTTGTTAAAGATTGGATTTTTATTCTACTTGTTTTCTTCCATGTGTTAAGTTAAATCTAATGCAATTCTGAAATTTGTCTAATGTTTATATGAGGAGCATAGCTTCATCTAAGTTTTGGTAATTATGAAATTTGGGGAGATTACTTTCAGAGTTAATGAATTAATAATTATGTGGGTATTTTCAGCATTGATTTCATAGTATAATTTAGAATCTAAAATCTGTTGAAAATTGTTAAGAGTAGTTTAATCTTGAAATGATTTCTATTATTGTTCATTTTTTTATTTATGAAGAAATCTGGAAGCCTTTTGTTTCTATTTTAGGTTTAATTACTTGCCTATACTAGTTGCTTGGTAAGACATAATGATGCCATTAATGAAGTAGTAGCTTGAAATATGGTACAACATTAAAAGATGAGGTTGGTACATAGTTATTACATCATTAACAAGGTTAGATGTCACTCAAAGCTTTAGCTGTCAAGGAAAGTTGTATATTCAGTTCTTATTAGGAGTCATTACGTGCTTTTTGAGAGTTATTGGACCTCAAAGATAATTGCAGAAAATAAAGTTGATGTGATATCAAGAGCTGAAAAACTAAGCTGTTCAATTGATCCTCCATTAAAGATGAGATTTTTTTTTTCCCTTTTATATTACATGACCAAATTTTCGGCTCGTGTGACCGTAATCTTGAACTCTAGCCTTTTTTTTCAATTAAGGAAATGTTCTTATCAGAAGTTAGTTTTTGATATCACTAACATTGTTTTTAAATCATCAATTCATGCAGCGTGAGTGTATTTGGGGTCTCAGCCGAGTCGATGCAATGCTCTTACGACAATAGGGGCAATAGCGTCCCAACAATTCTACTACTAATGCAAGAAAGATTATACTCACAAGGTGGTCTAAAGGTATATGGATAATAAGAAAAGGGGCAAAAAATATCTAATTGCTTACTCTTAGATTTTATTCTTTTTTACCTTTTAACAGCCTCAAACAAACTTATATTCCTTTTTCCATTTTCTTTTTGAATAATAATGTTTTGCAGTCAGAAGGAATTTTTCGGATAAACCCCGAAAATAGCAAGGAGGAACACGTGAGAGATCAGCTCAACAGAGGCATCGTGCCTCAAGATATCGATGTTCATTGTTTGGCAGGTTTGATCAAAGCCTGGTTCCGTGAGCTGCCAGCTGGCGTGCTCGACGGGCTTTCTCCCGAACAGGTTTTGCAGTGCAATACCGAGGAGGATTCGGACGAGCTGATTAAGCAGCTAAAGCCAACCGAGAGTGGCTTACTAAGCTGGGCTGTTAATCTCATGGCTGATGTGGTGGAGCAAGAAGATTCCAACAAAATGAATGCCAGAAATATTGCTATGGTTTTCGCACCAAATATGACTCAGGTGATTCGAAAAAAACGAACCCTAATCTTGTTTTTTTGTCGTAGTTATTCGAGACACTTTATATGGTGGGCTTGTCATGATTATTATCAAATTAGTGAAAACAGAAAACTATAGTTTGTCGGAAAAAAAAAAAAATGGGGTCTTTAACCTCTTTTAAGAAGAACAGCTTATAATCTCTCAAATTAACAGCTTTATTATACACATATAACTGATTTTGAGAGATTGTAAACACATCTCAAATGACCCTTAAATTGGTTTCACACCGAATATGACTCGGGTGATTCGGAAAAAACGAACCCAATCTTGTTTNAAAAAAAAAAGGGTCTTTAACCTCTCTTAAGAACAGCTTATAAGTTATAATAACCTCTCAAATAGGATAGAATAATGGCCAAAAACTGATCTTGAGAAGATTGTACCATCTCAAATGAACCCTTTTAAAATGGTTCGACGAGCTTAATGAAAAACTTGCTGATGATGTGGCGTTTCTACCTTCATGCCAGATGGCGGATCCCCTGACTGCCCTCATGCACGCCGTTCAAGTAATGAACTTGCTCAAGACCCTCATCACAAAAACGCTACGCGAACGCGAAGAATCGGGCGAAGAGGGGTACTCGCTCGTCTCTTCTCGAAGTTCTTCCGTTAGGCAGACTGACGAGGAGGAATACGATAGCCAACAAGAAACAGAAACCGGAGGCGAGTCAACCGGGCCTGGCTCAGACGAGGATGAACAGGACCTATACAGCCCGCGCAGCAGCAAAAACCGAGACAAGCCCGAATCATCCTTTAGCGACATCGAGGAATGCTTTCTGAGACAGCTGGACGCGAATGAGAACGCGAAAAACGGGTTTCGTAAGGAGCTCGAGGGAATCGTACTCTCCAACGGGTTTTCGCCGTCTGAGAGTAAAATCGAGAGCTCGTTTTTCAGCACGAGCGATGGTGAGGATTCGAGACTCAGTTCTTCGCTTGTTTTCGGCCCTTCTTAAGACAGGATGCAGTTAATTAATTAAAGCTGTGTTTTGATGTTTGATTGAACCTTGTGTTAATTAGTTTAGTTTGTTTGTTGTAAATTAAGTTTTTTATCATGTGGGATGAGTTTAATTTAGGATTTTGATTGAAGTTTGCAGACTCCTTTAGATTGTGGTGTGAATGTGTGTGTCACTCACTCTTCAGTTTAGGGCTGAAAATAGTGATGAATCCATTTTCTGTAACTTTTGCTCTATCAGCAAAAGGTTTTTTTCTTTCTAACTATTTGAAGTTTTTCTCCTTTTTTTTTTCTTTTTCTTTTTTTCAGGAGACATGAAAATTGTTAAGTAGCTTTTGTGTCATCCAGAAGCTTGGACTGACATTGAATATTGTCATGAAAGAACTATTGTTGGACAGGATTAATTGTTATGCATCTTTTGAATTTACATTACATGTTTGATAAATAACTTTTTGGATAGCTTTTAGCTGTTTGAATCAATATTAGCTGTTTGACCATCTCAAACAGCCAAATTTGTTGTTTGGTAAATTAGCCTTTTTAAATAGCTTTTTGGATGAAAAAGCCATTATAGAAAACGCTGCTATCTTGAACGGCAATGGAAAACAAAAAGGATTTTTTTATTGTGTTTCGCTTTTTATTTATTTCCTTTTGCAATTCCCTAAACAAAATATGAATAAATATATATAGTGATGTATACTACAAAATTTTATTTGAGATATTAAAATAATTATTATTATGACATAAAGAAAAATATTAAATTGTATGAATTTTTAATATTTAAAATTAAATATAATCAATTAAATATCAAACTACTAATTTATCATTTTAATAATTACAAACAACTAATTTTACCAAACACTATTTTACAAACCGCTAATAAAATTCGCTGGTCAAAACAGCTAATACAATTCGCTAGTAGCTAACCGCTAACCCCCTATTGCCAAACAAGGCCTAGATATATTTTTAAATTGAATGTTATACTGAAAATGGTAAGTCTGCTTTGCAAAAAAAATAATTGTGAAAAGACAATAAAGTTTATTTTTCATAAATTATGTTGAGTCGACCATAGTTTGACTGGTCGTACACAATAATTTGTGATATTTACCTGTAATTATCGCTAATTATAAATACATAATATTATCACAAAAATGAATGGAAGACCTAAATAAATCCTTGTTACTCCCAAATTATAATCACAGTTTGCATAATTACGTGGCGTTAGAGCCCTAGACTTGTGATGCTCTATGCATATTAATTAATGCATTTTAAGAAAAACTTTGTTCTAATTTCATTGATTGACTTATTGAGCGAAGAAATGCATACTTTTTTTTTTTAATTATGAAAAAACGTCATATTAATACATGGACTTTCTTTGAAAAAAAAAAAATACATCGACTTTCTCTAAACTAAGTTGATTACAATTTCCAATGTTTACAAATCTCATATTTTCTTTTTTGGATGTCTGCATTTTCGTTGAACTTTTGTGGTGTTTAAGCTTTTAATTATCATTTATTAAGTAATACTACTATTTTACTTATGGGAGAAGGTAGTTTGAAATGTATATGTTGTGTATCATAAGTAGTTTGGTAATAAAATTGGAAATCTTGAACTCCTGGCATATAAAATCATCCATTAATTTTTTTATTTTATTATTATTATTTTTTATTTTTTCTTTTATGATTGATGGGAATCCACTTTCTAGTGGATCTTTGAAATAATAATAGCTGAACTTTATGTTAAACCACAATGAACATTAATGAAAATAATACAGTGATCGTAGTTCGAAAAATTATTGAACCGCCTGCACAAATATATACACAAATATATATATACAATGACTATGCAATTTAAAGATCTTATTAAGCCACATTATAAAGTTTTATTATCAAGTTGTAAGTGTAGATCAAATAGTTGATTCGGCCGAACATAACCTTCCGATACTCGTGTTTGGAGTCTAGAACAAATTCGAATTCAGTTTGTTAACGAACTTTAATGAATTAAATTATAATTATAATTTAGGAAATTGCATAAAAAGTCTGAGTCTAGCGGATAAACAAATTCGAATTCAGTTTGTTAACGAACTTTAATGAATCAAATTATAATTATAATTTAGGAAATTGTATAAAAAGTCTTATTTTGTTAAGTTCGATACGAACTCAATTCGAACTTTAACAAGTCGAGCTAACGAAAAAGTGTTAGTTTTTAGATTTTATTGTTGTGAGGTAACTTGAAGCTCACGTAGTCAAAATGCACACATATCGTTGTTCTATAGAAAATGTATACACAATTCTCATTATTATTGTAACAAAATAAAATGAATAAGCAAGTGATAACTAGACAAGCATACATAACCTCAAGGATTTCGAAAATGACTAGTCAAAGTGTAATAAGTGGTTTTACTACAGTATTACTTTGTAGTGCTTTATTTCGAGGTGACAGCAATCATGATCGTTTGTAAGAAAAACTAAAATGACAAAAACATTTAAACATACAAAAATATCGCTTTTAGATGGATCAAATATCGCTTTTAGATGAGTCATAATACGCATTGATTTAGGCGCAAATAACACGTGTCAAAACTTTTGTGAAATACAATCCCTCAAAAAAGCGTGTGGAGCAAAATTTTTTTCTTTAAATGGGACATGTGTCCAATTTCTATTGAATAATGAATTTTATATATTATATTATATAAATTAAATTATCATTCATATTTTATATTAAAAAATAAAAATAAAAATACCAAAATTCATAATTTTTCATTCTCTACAAATAGAGACCACATTTGATAAGTTTTAGAATACAATTTATTTATTATTTTTCACAATTAATTTGTTTTTAGAAGATAAAGACGCAGATCCATAATAAAACGAACATGTTACTTAGTAAGATGAATATGTTATAGAATAAGATGAACCTGTTACATAGTAAGATGAACATGTTACATATTTATAGAATAAGATGAACATGTTACATAGTAAGATGAAAATGTTATAAAATAAGATGAACATGTTACATATTTACACAATAAGATGAACATGTTATAAAATAAGATAAATATGTTACAAAATGAGATGAACATGTTATGTCCGTAACATGTTCATCTTATTTGATAACATATTCATCTTATTATGTAACATGTTCATCTTATGTCAGTATAATAAATTGATTAAGAAAAAAAAAATTAATTATGTTAAAAAAAACCTATCAAATGTGGTCTATTTATAGACAATGAAAATTTATAAATTTTGGTATATTTATTTTTTTATTTTAATATAAATTATTAATGATATTTTAATATATCTAATATGTCTCATTTTCAATTAAAAAAATAAAATGGCATGTGTACTACACTCTCTCATTTTTTTGGTTTTTAAAAGTGATTAGGCGCGTGCATAATTGCCCTGACACAAGATGTGCCAGGCCACACGATAGTAGTACTGTTGATTTAGGTGACCATTGTCATTCAAAAAGTATGCCAACAACCTTTTAACAATACTTTTTTGTAAGAAAAATATAAAAAAAGCTCGATATAAATTGTATCTCACAGTTGAAGGACAAACTGTGAAATGTTATAGTTGTAATTTTCAAGACAATGCTTTTTCAATAAATGAAATGTTATATTTTAAAAGAATAATTAGATGTAGGTAGTAGATTTTTCTATAGATATACATATTGTCAAACTGAAATATCATACTCTAAAAAAAGATAAAAAAATAACATTCCATGGTTATGGTTAATAGTATACGCCTATACGAGTATATGGTATAAATTTTATATAGCCATCAATCACATACTATCCGCTAATTCACTAATAAGTCATCAGTTAATTTAAGCCATCGATCATAAAAATTTAAAATTCATTAATAAGTTATCAGCTAAATTATAAAATCAGATTTAAGTCCATTTAATCAATAAGAATTAGAGTCTCGATACTCTTATTTGTTAGACGTACGTAAAATAAAGGACTGCATGAATTAATAGATACATAATAAAATAATTATACTTCAAAATATTTTTGACTTATACATATTTATTTATATATATATATATATATATATATATATATTATCACAAGTTGATGAAAATTGAAAAAATAAAAATATAATAACACGAAACTAGAAAATAATTAATTTCCTTCCAAATCATCACAATGTACATTTCGGACTTGTGATTTTAATTAATTACATTGAGAAACTATGTATCTTAAGAATCACTGTATGAAGAAAAAAAAAAGATATAGTTAAAAAAGAGGTTTTCATCATCAACATCATTTCTCCCAAACCAAACGCAGTATAAGAAAATGGGGAAAAAAAAAGGATTTAATTTACCAGAAAATTCAATAATCCCTTCGAATTTTGGGAAAACTAAATTACCTTCAATTTTATTCAATCACGAGATGCCAAACACGCCTCCCAGAACAACCTATCCCCTTCCCTCTCGCTCATCATCCTCATCTCCGCCGCTGCCGGCGTAGATCCCCTCCCTCCGACGCGGCATTGATCCACGACGCCGTCCTCCAAATCGCTCCCACCGCCGTCCTCCTCCTCCTCAACCCGATCGCGCAGATTCTCCTCATCCTCTCCTCCGGCGACCTCCTCCCTAGCGCCGCCGGGCGCGGATCCGCGGCTGCACGACTCCGCGTCGTCATCCGCCGCGACTGGGTCTCCGTCGAATTGGTCCGCCTCGGAATCGCCGATCGCCTCGAACAGCACGTAGGCCGACGCGTCGAACGGCGGCGGCGCCGCCACTTCCGCCATCGCCGGCGCCAAATCGCAACAATTCGAGCCGATCGATCGGAATCTGAAATTACAATTGCGCGTGTGTGTATTTGTTTACATATATGATTGTAGAGGGATGATATTGAAGAAAAATTAGGTGAAAAAAATCCAATGATATAGTTTAAAAGACAATGATTTTTAACACATATTATTCAATGATTGTAATGTTAAAAGATTGAAAATTTCAATCAAACTAGTATCTCCAATGCGTACTTTGATAAGAAGTTATTTGTATAGATAGACCAATTAAAATAATTTATTGATACAATAATAATAAAAAATTAAATCAAAATTAAAGTGAATTGATGAGTCATCATGTTTAACATGATGTTAGATATTAGAAAATGAGTTCAAATATTAGAAAGTGGGTTCAACATTATTAACATTAAATGTCATCCACCTCATCATGAAAGAGTTTATGACAAGATGCATTGGAGAATAAATTTAGTAAGACTTTCAAAAATTGATGATATGGATGATTTTTTGTAATATCAAAAGTCATATTGGAGATGCTTTAACTGTGGTGCATCTTACTGTTAGGCAAATTTGAGGGGCCGACAAAATTTCATTTATCTTATTAAATACTCATTTTTGTATTTAAATTTGAATTCGAAATTATACATATCTCTAAAATTTTTAAATCTCAATATCATGTTTCAATTTCAATTAAATAAATGAGACGCTCCTTGTGAATCCAACCAACAAAATGAAGCATAAACACAATTTTGAATTAATACGTAATATCTTTTCCCCACCTAAAAATATAATATTTGACAATATAGATATTTATATGTATTAAATATTTTTGTTATTTATTGTTTTGAATATGTTGGTCATTTGGTAATATCTATAGCTTGCCACGTCGTGCTTCTAGAAGGTCTATACACTTTTACCCTCCACTTCTAGAAGGCGTTAATTGGGAATTGTTTGACCTAATTATTAATTTCTAATTTCATATAGGGATTCAAAAGTGACAAGTCTCTATCAGTGGTGCTTTCAAGTAAAATTCCAAAAAGTCCTTCTTTATCTGCCCTCACCGAATATTTTACAATCTAGTATTTTATAACACAACAATGTACATGTGTATGATTCAATTAAAAAATTTGGTGAGAGCAAAAGGATCTGAGTCTGCATACGAATACATAATATTTGTGTAATACAATATGGTGTTACAATAATGTACATAAAATATAGGAATGCATTTATTATACAACAATATTATAGGAGTTAATAGTTTAATACAAATAAATAGGATGTTAAAGATGTTAAAATATAAAAAACAATCGTATTCACATCCCTTTTTGTTAAGGGTTAGTCTTGTCATGGTATATTTATTTATTTATTATTATTATTATTTCTTTTTGTTGTTGTTGTTGGACCTAATATTATGAATATCACTAATCAATTCGCCTTGATTGTTTATTTCCACTTGGTAGTTATAAATTTGGACCCCTTGTCCAATTTGCAGAATTTCAGACCTATTTTTTATTATTACAAATGGTCTGCAAAGAAATTTGATTTATAAAGATACGGCATAATTCGATAATACTACAAAGAAAGTGTGTTTTTTCCTTGTCTAAGAAATTATGGCACCAAATTTTCCTCTCAATTTACGTTTTACTAGATTAAATACACTGCATGTGCTTACAAAGTGGTGGAAACTTAAACTGGTTTTAATATTTTATTTGTAATAAAACTGGAATCACTTGGTAATGGTGACTTTATAACATTTATCAGCATCTCAATTTTGCTTTATTTCAACGTTATTAGGTAAAAGAATAAAAAAAGGTCGGTGGTTTTGAATTCCAACCCGTTTTTCACCCACATTCCAATGGGCCTGGTTTACATCTTGGGCCGACATGCCAAAACACGGGTTTTGACGGGGTACTTGTCTGGGTCAGTTGTTGGCCCATTTTGAATGTGTAGCTCGAACTCGAGCCTTTACTGAGTATAAGTAGTGCAGAGATACGAACAAAGCAAGCAAATTGACAAACTCGAGTTGAACTAATTTATCAATATTAACGAATCGAGTTATAAAATATTACATAAATAAAAAAATCTTACTTTGAGCCTTAGCAAGCTTGCCTCAAATCGAATCGAGCAGACAAGGGGTTTGTAACACGGGTTGAACAAAATCTAGTCGAAAGTGAAAAACCGAGCAATTCGGTGTTGATCGGTATGGTTTCGATTCAATTTAAATTCTATAGAAAATCGAGTTGAACCATACATTTTTGTGTGGTTCGATTTGGTAAAAAAAAAAAATGGTTCATCAATTATTTCTTTCGCTAGCTGATAGCATAGAAGTGAATTTCGAGTTTATAACTGATAGTTTATGATTTATAACTAAAAAGTACCTGATATGATGAAAGTGTTTGGTAAAGTTACTGGTAAATCAGGTGAAATGAAAATTTCAACGGCCTTATTTGAAAAGACACCAAAAAAAGTTTATAATATAAATTCGAGCTTTTTAATAAAAGCTTGTTCTACAAAACTAAACTTATTTGTATACAAAAAACTAATAAGGTAACTAAATAAGTAAACGAGCTCGTTGTGCTTACCAAACACACTCTTAGTATTTTTGTATAAAATAAATTTATGTTAGCGTATGACATAAATTCGAGTTTTTTAAAAATACTCATCATACCAAACTAACATTATTTTTGTGATTTAAATCAGATGATCATCAAAACAAATGGGATAAGTATATACCTGTTTTAAGTCATCAAACGTTAACGAAAGACCCAAACTCATAGCCCAAGGATCCAAACGAATTTATTCTACAAAATCAATTTTCAAATGTAAAAAAGATTCAAAAACAGGGGGCATTCCGAGAATCGAACTCGGGACCTCTCGCACCCAAAGCGAGAATCATACCACTAGACCAAATGCCCAGTTGCTTCTTTGGTGATTCTTTATTTATAATCTTTTCTTTAACACCTCAATCTTGACCTTGTCACGTACTCACGTTAATTTATTTTATTAAAGTACACTAGTCCTGTATATAATTTTATACGCAGGAATTTAGCAAAAACGCTTCCTGATTTTTATTTCCGCCCAATAATATCACTCCAAATCAACTACGTGATCACGACATGCACATTTTAATAGGATTTTAGACCTGTTGTCTATAAACTTCGATAATAATTTTGTCATTTCACAATTTGTTATTCCAACTAATCTTTAAATATCAAGATTGCATTAATTTGGAGCCAAAACATCACTGTGCCTTACACTAAATGTAGTGGTCACCATTAACAATTGTAGCAATTATGGCAGGAAGGGGGAGAAGATGTCATGCTGACTCCAACGCCGGCCGGAGGTACTCAAACATGTGCAAATTGTTTATAATTTGATAAAAAAAAATATGTGTTTCTAATTTGATTGTTTATATATATATATTTTCATTATTTTTTTTTTTTGATGATGTGAAACTTTCAATGTCTAATGCATTCACCTAGCTATAAACAAAAATTCTTTAGTTTATTGTGTGAATCTTAATTTGAACATGTGAAATTTGAAGATTTTCATGCGCCTCTTAACTATAATAATGCCATGTGCACACAATTTTTTACACAATCGGATGGCATTAATAATATGTAAGTGTATGAATTGTTGATTTAAATTGACGTGAAGTGTGAAACACTATAATCTTGCCACGCGTATATTATATTAAATTTTATCCAAGTGTTGATATACACAGACTCTAGGCTAAACCATGCTAATTGAATCAAAGGCTTTTGGGGATTTTTTCATAAGTAAAATGGAGTAAGTGTCCCTAAGACAAGTAAAATGGCTCGGCTTGGCTCGTTAAGGCTCGAGTTCGGTTCAAACTCGAGGCGTTAACGAGCCGAGCTCAAGTTCATTTAAAATTCGTTTGATTAATGTGACGAGCTCAGCTCGACTTGATAAGGCTCGAAAAGAAAGTTTTATATAATTTTTTATTATTCGGCTCATAAAGCTCGAGATCGACTCGATAATAGTAATAAACGAGTTGAGCTCGAGCTGAATTTCTGACTCGTTTATTTAACGATCCAAACTCGCCTCCATTCATTAAGTGCTCGAGCTTGAGTTCGAACACCATAAGCTCGAGTTCAACTCGGCTGATTTGCCGGCTTAGTTCACTGTGGGTATTTTTCCACATAAAAAAGATGAGACGACTTTTGGGTGAAATAAAAAATTTAAAATAGAAGATCTTACGAATTACGATGTTACGAGTGTATTTATTAAAATCTTATCACATGAGCATATTGACCAATTAGATGAGAGCATCAAGGCCATTGCTTGGGTACCATGCCATTTAATTTGGCTTTATAAGTATGACGCGCTATTTGTTGAAATTTATACCAGTAAAAAAATTCTCTCTTTCCATTCAACTGTTCAACGTCACAACTCCAAACAGAACAATTTTTGGACTCACTCAGTAGCAAAAATCAGAATTATGTTCAGTGCTGGATCCAGGTCAGTCATCCCTTTTTTTTCCACTTTTTTGTTTTTCTAAGTTTGTTAAAAAAAGAAAAAGAAAAAAAAGCTTTAAAATTTCTGATTTTTCAATTGATTTTTGTGTTCATCCTCGATACCCAGATAAAGATGATGCTAAAGATCGAATCTTTATATATGTTTTAAGTTTTAGCATCAAACAGTTGACTTTTCAGAGCTGAGATCTGCCATTTGGACCTTTGGTTCTGCCCCATTTTCAATCTTGTTTAATGTGCCCTGTTTTTCCTCTTTTTCTGGGTTTCGAAAAAATACTTCAGAAAATGCCTCAGCTCAAGAGCTTTGCTGACATCAGCCTCCCCAAGACACTATTCTTCCCACACAGAGAGGTAATCCCATGAAATTCCCCCTCAAATTTCCTGTTTTTTATTTTTTTTTGGGTCTAATTTGATCTGTTTTTGGCCTTTTCCAGGAAATTAGAAGGCAAGGTAGCCCTAATCACCGGCGCCGCCAGCGGAATCGGCCGGGAAACCGCCTCCAAATTCATCAGCCACGGTGCCAAAGTCATTCTTGCCGACATCCAATCAGGCCCGGGCCACGAGGCGGCCCGTTTGCTCGGGCCCAATGCCTCCTTCATCCAATGCGATGTCACCAACGAGCCCGATGTCTCCCGAGCCGTCGATTTCTCCGTGTCGACGCACGGCCAGCTGGACATCATGTACAACAACGCGGGCATCGCGTGCCGGACCCCGCCAAGCATAACCGAGCTCGACCTCGACTCGTTTGACCGAGTCATGTCGGTCAACGTTCGTGGAGTCTTGACCGGGGTCAAACACGCGGCCCGAGTCATGATCCCGCGCGGGCGCGGGGGAGTGATCCTCTGCACGGGTAGCGTAACGGGCGTGATGGGTGGGCTCGCGCAGCACGCGTACTCGGTTTCGAAAAGTGGGGTGATCGGGATCGTACGCTCCGCGGCGGCCGAGCTTTCGGGGCACGGGATTCGAGTCAACTGCATCTCGCCGATGGCGATCCCGACCAATTTCGCGATGGACGAGCTTATGGAGTGTTATCCGGGCGTGGATCGGGAGAGGTTGGTGCGTATGGTCCGAGAGTTGAGCTCGTTGAAAGGGGAGTATTGTGAGGCGGGTGATGTGGCGAACGCGGCTACTTACCTGGCGTCGGACGATGCCAAGTTCGTGAGCGGGCATAATCTTGTGGTGGATGGAGGGTTCACGTCGTTCAAGAGGTTGGCGTTGCCCGAGCCAGACGAGCTAGGGTGAACGCGCGTGTGGAAAAAACGAGTTTTTTTAGTTAATCAGATGGAATTATATAGAGGTAGTGAAAAAAGAGACGGTTGTGCAATTTGTTGTGTTTGTGGAGAATTGATTAGGATAGCCGTTGAACAAGGCTAAAGGATTGTGCTTTGAGTTCAAATTTATAAATGACGGTTTCCAAACTAAATGATTATGTGTTTATCGACCGTATGATAAGTCGTGTGCAAATTGGACAATGTTGTAAAATCCACGAACCTAAACCAAATTTTGTTTTTCGGACAACTTAAAAAGATCCTACGCAGATGAACTAGTTCATAAGCCAGAGAACGGTTTCTTGGTTTCAATCCCGAGTATCGACGCATAATCGAACTCATGTTGGTACCGTGAAGAGACGGTACCTTTTTTCGGCCGTCCAAGCACATTGCATTTCGATATTTCGTCAATCAAAATCAAGATTTACTTAGGCATGCATCAATATATAATTTGACTCTCTCTATTGGTCCATTCTCAGTTTCTTCTATACATATCCCGTGTCAATTGTAAAAGTGAAAATTTTCCCTTCATCTAGCGAGTCATTCGAATGTTTAACGAATTTCAATGTCTCCCGACAGGTAGATTTCACCTACTTGCAACTATAGTGAGTTTTTCACTATTAAATTTGTTAATCCAACAATGAAAAACATGGTGACTACACTACAATCAGTTACCAGACTCGTGTCTTATAAATTAGGACTTTGCATGATAGTATTCTTAACCATTTAATTATGATTCTTTATCTAATAAATGTTCAATCTAAATATCATGAAAACACAATTAAGTTATTGTAACTTTTATTCTTCAAATTTCAAATTTCAGATATGCTGCAAATACTTAGTACAAGAAACGATAGGGGTAAATAATAAATAAATTAGAGCTGGTTCTTGATGTCATGGGCTATTTTCTGGGCATCAATGCCCGCTCCTGGCAGTCCTCTATGGGCCAGCCCAGCACAGTACAGCCCATTAATGCCCTTCCAGTGGTTAGGGTAGGAATTTCTAGGAAGCCCATCATCATTAAGCAAATAACAATCTTTAAGCCACTGTTTGGTAGACCGTTTGAATCCTGTAGCCATCACAATTGCATCGAATATATCTTCTTTCCCATTCTCAAACAGCACCTTATTGCCTTTAATGTAGCTTATCCCTGGCAACACCTATATTTGCCCAAAATATTTGTAATCACTTCAGAAAAAAAATAAAATATTTAACCAAAATGTTATTTTTTGATATGGAAAAGTTTTGTCTCGTTTGAAAATAGAGATGAAATTAAAGATATGAGAATTTGAAAACTGAGATATTTTATAGTTGTGTGATCGGTGTGAATGAATATAAGAAAAATATATCGATTCTAGTTGATATAATATGTAAATATTGAAATTTTTTTATTCTAATTATACTAATGAAATTATTGAGGAGAAAATGAATATTTCGATTGGATATGAGATTTTTTTCTAAGAATAGGAAAATTGAAACGAACAAATAAAAAGTTTAGATAAATTTGAGATTGTGAACTTATATGAAATAATAATGTAATGTTTAAAGTTGATTGATATAACAAAAGTAAAATTTATATTTATATAAAATGGTTTGATTATTTTTTAAATAGTAACTATTTCCATCCAAAAAAATATATTTACTATTTTGAGAAATTACTTTAATAATTTATGGTATATTTCAAATAATCACTTATGGAAATTGCGGCTCATTATTTAAGGAAATAATTAAGTCATATAAATATTCATTTTTAAGATACCTTAATTACTCAAATTAATTTAACAATTTATGGTATATTTTAATAATTACTTATGGTAAATTCATTTTTAAGATACCTTAATTACTCAAATCATGTGAATTGACTTATTTACCCAAACATGGTAATTTCAGTTGCAATATCAATTATGTGTTTTGGTAAAAAAATTCCAACTAAATCGTATAATTTATTGTTGAATAAGTGTCTTATATTTTTCGTGTAATTCTTTTGTGAAATACATTTTTAATATCCCTTAATTACGCAAATTGTGTAAATCTGACTGATTTATTCAATCTATAAATAATTACTTATGAAAATATCGACAACGGTAATTAATTATGCAGTTTGCAAAAAATGTTCTAAAAAAATTGTGCCAATGACAATTTTTATTTATATATTATTTAATAAATATTATTCATTTTTGTGTATTTCATTTCTCAAATATGGATAATTAAGAAAATAATTAGACAATCAAAAATTATACTTAAGATACCCTAATTACATAGATCGTGCAAGTTCGGTTTATTTATTCAATTATAATTTCTTATATAATTATTTTATTTTCTAATAACTATTTTTGGTCTTTTTATATTTTATTTATAATAAACATGAATCTTGATTTTGTTTTGTACGCTGGGCAATTAATTTCGTAATTAAATTGAATATCATTTTTTGTATTTTATCGACATTGTATGAAATCAAATTATTTGGTATACTATATATTGATCCAATATACCCGCTTATTGTAATAAATAGTATCTCAATTTTTTTTTTCATACTGCTAAGCATTTTACTCGATATTAATGAAAGAAAAATATGGGTAATACTATGGTCGATTCTTCTTTGTAAATATGCATGGAACATATCAAATTATTTTGTGTGTGTGCGTGTGTGTAATATATATATGTTTGCTTTTACTTAAATCACATTGTAGTCAAATCAAATTTCTGAAAAATCTTAAAATGACATCTATTTTGAAATGAATATAATGTAACTAATTATCAGTTACTTGCACCATACGGGTCGTGTACTAATTTTAAATATACATGTTTTATATAATGTTGCAAATTTCATATAACATTTTCAACAAATTAATATAGGTAAATTGTATTACATATTGATTCTATATTTCTAATTTATAAATATTATTTAATGAGCATTTATAATTTATAAATATTAATAAATATTTTTTATCCGTGCATCGCACGGGATTCGTATTAATTTCAATTGATAGGGTTTGTAAAATTATTTATTTTACCAAAATAGTATTGTCTGGTAAAAATAGTTAATTTTATAATTTGGTGAAAGTGACAAACCTGAATTTTACCAGTCTTGATCATGCCGATTGTTCCCACGTCAACAACAGGATATTTACCATATTTGACTTTCATGGTAAATGGGCCCTCCTTAGGATTTTGGATTCCATATTTTGTGAGGTCGCCAAACACGGCCTTACTCATCACGGTCAACATAATGTCAACCCAACTCATAGGTACGTATTTCAACAGCACCAATCCCACGTAAGCCATTCCCCTCGAAATTACGTGCATCTGTAAAATTTATGAAACTAACGTAAAAATCATTTTTATCAAGTTTGATAAAAACTTACTATTAATTCAGCTCGTTAATTAATCGAGCTCAAACTTCCGTTTAGAAAATGTAAATACCTCTACAACTGCAGCAACTCACTTTGAGGTTTATTTTAAAAAACATCTATACTAGTGTAGGTTTTATTAAAGAGGAGAGAAGCAACTTAAATGAAAGGGCATAGCCGCATAGACTGATTAATTAAGCATTAGTCAACTAAGTAATAATAATAACAACAATAATAATAATAATAATAATAATAATAATAATAATAATAATAATAATAGGATTGCAACTTTTTTTATATAACAAATCACTCTTATGAATATGCAAATATGACAAATTACTCAACGCACAATTTTTTTTTTTTTCAATCTAAGTGTCATTTTCTGGTGTATCGTATATATGTATCATATATCTTAGTTTATGGTGGGTGTGGCCTCAAGATATCCCATATAGTTTTTTTTTTACATATATATAATATATCAAATTAATTATTTTCTCCACGATTTTCAATTTAAAATCTATATATTACATCTCTCCAAAATAATAACAAAAAAATAAATAAATAAAAACTAAAAATCTCACCGAGCTCCGCACGACTATTGAGGCCTTGGCCCCATGGTTAGCTAAATCGAGCGTGATCTCCATTCCGGAATTCCCGGCTCCGACCACCAACACTCTCTCTCCCGAGAACCTCGCCCCGTTTTTATACTGTGTCGAGTGCACCACCTCCCCTCCGAACCCCTCGAGCCCCTCCACTGGTGGGGCCCACGGGTCGCACGTCACCCCTGTCGCCACCACTAAAAACCTCGACCGATACCTCTCCGTGGGCCCCACAACATTATTATTATCATCATCATTATTATTATTATCACTATTATTATTATTATCATTATTATTATTATTAGACGCGACCGCAATTACATCCCACCAACACGACTCCTTGTCGTGCTTCGCCTCGACAACCCTATGGCCGTACCTTGGTTCGATTTCGAACCGCGACACGTAGTCAGTAAGGTAGGCCACGAAGTCAGCTCGGGACATGTAGCCGGGTGTGTCATCGGGCAAGGGTGCGAACGGGAGCTGGCAAAAGCGTTTGTCGAGGTGAAGGTGGACACGGTCGTAGCAAAACTTCTGCCACAAGGGCGCGAACGTGTCCTCTCGCTCGAGGAGGATGTAGGGAATCGAGAGGTGGTGTAGGTGGGCCGCGGTCGAGAGGCCCGATGGGCCCGAGCCCACGATGATCACGGTCGTCGTCTCGATTTTTTCGCCCATCACT